GCTCTGGAGGAAGTCGAGTTCTTTTTGTTCCTTTTCCTTTGGCACTTGGGGAATACCTGGAAGTGGCCGGCTTTTTCTCTGACTTATTATGACTTTTCCTCCTTGGCCCCGGCCGCCCCGCCCCCACCACCTCAGCCGCACCCCTGGGGCCTCGGTGAGCTGCCCTTTCCCAGGCACAAAGGCGAGGGGCTCTGTTTGGAAGGGATTGGCGGTCCCTCCCAAGAAAGACGACAAAGTTCTATGGCAGGGCTTCCTAGTTTCCACCCTGAGATAATCCTGCCGAGGTGGATGGACTGGTCCTCTGCTGGTCGGGTTGGTTTTTAATGACCGTGAGAGTGCAGCTACGTCAGAGTGATAACAGGCACAGCACGCATTTACCTATCCGCCCCGCGTGACCAGCCTCGGGGGCGTGTAGCTCAGGCCCCTCGGAACCTACCGAAAAGGAGCCCTTGGCCCAGTGCTGGGTTCGTTCAAAAGTGTAACTAAAAACCAACAAAATATTCAAAAGGACAGCCTTGACCAAAGATTTTTTTTTTTTCCTCACATAGTCCAAGATGGTATCACCTTTGCCCCTAGCTAAGAAGACACTTGGTCTGCCAATAAAGTTCCTCGTTCAGTCTTAGGGTTTAAGAAGCACATCCACCCCACCTTGTTCAGGGAACACCTACAAAGAACCATTTACTCAAGCTGAGTGTGTGTCTGGGTGGAACCACCTAACTGGGCCACTGCCTAATTGGCCACTTACACTTAAGCAATAGGATAGTCCTAGTGCTTTAGAATGGCTATAATTATTTTCCCTGGCTCAGTATTTGTAAAAAAAAGAAAAGAAAGAAATCCATGTGTTTCTGTAAAAGAGCTTAAAGAATCTTACTGAAAAATTAAGATGCTTGAGTAAGTGGTACCCTGAGAAAATTAACTTCCCCTGGGGGAGCTTACTTTTCACGCTGGGCAGGCTAACACGAGTCTGCTAGCATCCTCTTTCTGGTGACTTCATGAGCGTGGTGCTCAGTTCGGCCCCACTTCGTGAAGGAGGTGGTCGGTCATGTGTATACAGAGGAGGATGTTGAGCGAGAGAGTGGTTTCCAGAATGGTGTAGCGTGTCTATGGGAGGACAGGTGGGACTTACCTGTGGATGGCTTCCCTGCCAGCAGCGCAGATGGCCACGTCGAGGGCCGCCTGGAGACTATCCGTGGTGCATCAGATACGGTTGCCGAGGCCACGATCCCCTGACAGAAAAGTTGAAACAGCTGGCTGCCCTGAAATAGGAGATTTGCCGTGGCTTCATCTACTGGATCTAGGGTAACCTGGCAAACATTCAACAAATCATTTCTTTGCTGGCTTGAAACATTACATTTGTTCGTTCGGTGGGTGAGGTTGCCTGAGAACAGAGATCAGCCTCTCAAGTAGGAAGAAACCTCCGTGATGACGTTTAATGTTTATGTAAGACCCTTCCAGCCAAATGCGGCTTCACATCCCTCTGGGTCTGCCCAGCTGCATCCCCCAGCTGCTTAGCACAGGAAGAGCCAGGGCACTGCCTTCCGAGGGTGTGGCTGAGGGTTGGCCTGGAGAATATAATTCATCAGGTCCTTGGCTGGGATGTAGGGAGAGCACCTGTGCTGTGTGTGTGTGTGTGTGTGTGTGTGTGTCCGTGTGTGTCCGTGTGTGTCCGTCCATGGTCTTTTAGGAAGTCTGGCAGGTCTCCATTAGGAAGGCTGTCCACCAAGACTCAAATGCAGTTGTGACTCATAAGGAAGACTGCCATTTTTCTGACATATGAACACAATATATAGTTTATATTTACCTGGTATCTTCCTTCTGAAAACTCACTTTGGGACACTTTTCTCCATCTTTGGAAAATCAGACTACTACTCCTAGGCAATAGAAATTTTTAGGAGACTCGAAGAACTGGGAAAAGAAATCTGATGTCTTTATAATTTTGTGTACATTAATTAGGAGGGTATGACAATCTCTTTTGACTTTACTTAAAGTCAAAGTTTAAAATTTTAAATTTAGCCCAGCTGGTGTGGTTCAGTGGTTGAGCATCGACCTGTGAACCAGGAGGTCACGGTTCAATTTACATCCCCAGTGTGGGGCATGCAGGAGGCAGCCAATCAGTGATTCTCACTCATCAGTGATGTTTCTATCCCTTTCTCCCTCTCCCTTTCTCTCTCTGAAATCAACTAAAAAGAAACACATGTTAAAATTTTAAATTTAATCTAAGGTTTCCTTCTTGGAATCTCGCTTTATCATCATCCACAAAGGAAGCTCTGCTTTCGTGGCCATGGCCAGTGTGGCCTGCTGAGGAACGGAGCCCATGTCTATAACTCTGCTGTATACTTTCGACCCAGAAATGATGATTCATAGGTCTTCTGTGACTTAGGTAAACTGAAATATTTGAGTAATCAGAATTGGCCATCTCCTCAAAATATGTTCATGTTATGTTTCCTTGTCCTTACTTGCATGTTACTTGTGAGTAAAATGCAGATATTACACACAGAAATAGATTCATGAAAGTAGAAGTCTGATGGATAGCTGACTATAAGGTAGGTAAGTTCCTTTGGGCCTTGAAGGCATGACATGTATTTAGAAAGTCTGGAGTCCATTTCAACTATGTTTTTTGGGAATGTAACCTAGTCCATCCCCACTGATTAGTTTATCAGATTGCTAAGTAGTTTCCTGGCCAAAACAACACAATACGTACAACAAAATAAAACCAGGCAGAAATGGGATCAAGTGCCCTGGCGGGTGTTGCTAAGTGGTTAGAGCATGAGCCTGTTTACCGAAGTGTCCTAGGTTCAAATCCTACCATACCAGGTTTGCTCTCTCCCCAATTTGGGGCATGTGAGGGAGACAATTAATTGCTGTATCTCTCAGATTGATGTCTCTCTCTCTCTCTTCCTTCCTCTTTTCACTCTAAAAATCAATTGAAAAAAATATCCTCTGGTGAGGATTAACAACAATAACAATAACAAAAACAAACAAAAAAAAAACACAAAAGAAATAGGATAAAGTGCAGGAAAGTTTTGATGGGAGGCGAGGAGGAAGAGGGATGGAAAAGTGGAAGGAGCAGACATTTGCAGAAGCTGAAAGTCACCTCCTCCACCATTTTGCCCAGGATTTCAACTCTGTCATTGGTTGCAAACTCGGCTGTCTATAGAGTGATGGAGTGAGGTTGGCCTCCTGAGAGTAACTATGGGACATATGCCCATCTTAAAGAGACACCATTACTTGATCCTAGACCATAGTTACATCGACCATATTACCAAATCATCTTTTTTTAAGAGAAACTGGAAATCCAGATTTTAATGCCAGATGGGCCATCTTTTAAGTGTTCCGATCATCACTGAGGCCAAACAAACACCTGCAGGCCAGCTCTTTGCAGCCATTCGGAAAATCTCAAAGTGGTGGCCTGTGAAGCACAGCGCTTCCTTCCTGTCACTCACCAGTGAGAACGTCTACACTTTAAGCCACATCCCCAGAAATGGTGTTAGATTTTTATTGATTAAAATCACACCTTCCCACTGAGTTTCCATTGAGAACAAGTGAGTGCCTGGGCCTATGGGATCTCTTAGCTAAGAAACAGGGGGAATCAGCATTTAGCTGCTACTGTTAGAACTATCTGAACACCAGTGAGATAGTTCTGTGAGTGGTGGCTATAAATTGAACTTCTCTTTCTTAACCCATCAATTCCCTCTTCCAGTGACAATACCAGTCTACCCTCCCCCCCAATATTGTATGATGCACCTCTTTTATTAGTCCTTTCCCAGTTGAATCTCATGAATTCAAGGTCTGTTTCAAGGGTAATTCTTTGGAATAGATAATGATGGATATGACTTGGGATATGACTTTTTGCTCCTTAGTGTTAATGTCATGAACTCATGTGAGACTAAATGAAAGAGAACACGGAGTGCTTTTGCTCTTCATTTCCTGAGGGGATTGAGTCTTATTACTTAGTAGGAACTTATGAAGGCTCTTTTCACCAGCTTCAAAGAGCAGAGATATTTTGAAACCTCTATACAAGTGCAAGGTATTACGAACGTCATAATGGGATATGTAGAAATTACGTGCATTTGTGATTTTCCAGGTTTGAGCCATCTACTATTTTGTTTTCACAAAGATGTAGCAACTTATGCCTTTATTAATATGTGATTAAAATGAGTTTCTCCTTGGTGAGTTTTTAAATTTTTTTTTTAATCTTGCTGAGACTTGATATTTACAGAGCAAATTAGGGGTTAAAGGTTAAATGCCAAGGGTATTAAAAATAAACATCCCGGCCTTATAAGCACATTCTGTAATAATGGTAAACAAATTATGTTTTGAGTTTCAACTTCAGAATTTATTTTGGCAGAGACAAAAGGTTTTTGGGGCATCCTAGCAAAGTATTTTTTTTTTTTTTTTTAACATATCTCCTACACTTGAGGAGAGAAGTAGAACTCTAAGAATCTCCCCTAAAGTAATGACATTGGCTTTGGCTAACCGTGGAACTTACACTACATCCATCAGCACCTCCTTCTGAGTTGCCAACCTAGGAACAATGTCATTAACATTGTTTTACTTCCTTTGTGACCTAAAATGTTTGTGTCCAGCCTGATCACCCATGGTACTCACTAGAATTAGCAGCAGGTTCCTCTAAGCTGTTCCCAGAAGTTACATTCTGCCTTAGCTGAGGAGAAATGGGCCCTACTGAAGATGTGCAATATCGTGTGGAACAGGCTGTGGAGGCCAGAGGGGAGGTGGCTGTTTCCAGGATCAAGTGTAAGAACCGCTGTGGCCGAAACCAGTTTGGCTCAATGGATAGAGCGTCGGCTTGGGGACTGAAGGGTCCCGGGTTCGATCCGGTCAAGGGCATGTACCTTGGTTGCGGGCATATCCCCAGTAGGAGGTGTGCAAGAGGCAGCTGATCGATGACTCTCTCTCATCGATGTTTCTAACTATCTCTCTCCCTTTCTCTCTGTACAAAATCAATAAAATATTTAAAAAAAAACAAAACAAAAAAAAACCACTCTGAAGGCGGACCACACTCTCCTGCGTGTTCTGAGTTCTGATGTGCTTGTTAAAAGTTCATTCACAGGACTTTATCATCACACACTCCATTGTAGAAAGCCCAGAATCAAGCTTCAGAATCCTGTTCTAAATCTTTTTTGCTGGACTTCACAGAGATCTAGAAGAGTTAGATGGCTTCTGAAGTCTCACAGCTAGGTGTTGGCTGAGCTGGTGCCAGAATCCAGTTTTTCTGATGGCAATCGAAAAAGGCTTTGCCCCCAAACCATGATGGTGGGTTAGAGTCTATTTCCTTAGTGTCTAAACATGACGAGGGAATTTTCTTTCTGAGGCCAATAAAAAAAAAAAAAATGCCTGTTTAAAGATGGAAGATTGCTACCTACCTATTTTTGATTCATTACTATATTAACTTTAAAAGATTATAAGAAGTAAATCAGAATAATTCACCCATAATAACACTACCTAGTGGTTTTATCTTCATGTCTTCGGGTTTCCTTCTAGTCTATCCAAAACACATCATTTTGTGTACTTACAATTATGGGACAAATAAACAATTTGTGCTCTGTATTTCTCCACTTATTTTATAAATCCTTTTCCTTGGTAATCATATGTTTATCATATTTTGGTGGCAGCATAATAATCCCATGTTGCCCGATTACCCAACTTGAGTCATAATTGTACAGAGACCTCTCCTGTTGGGACAGTGTCATTGTGTGATACTGTGCATCGGGAAGAGTTCCTCCTGCTCCCACTAGAACTGCTCTGGTCTGTAATGTGCTGCTCCTGTCAGTCCTCAGACATGGAGCCCTTCTTTGGTGTAGAGTCTGGAGCAAGACAGGCAGGTTTGGGGTGCACTACACACTCCCAAGTCTTAGCCCAAAGGTAGAAACTGTTGGTGTTGCCCTTACATTTTGGCATGCAAATGTGACACCAGTGGGTGCTCAAGCTTCTAGCTCCAGGTTGGCAAATATGAGTGTTCTTAGCAGAGAATGCAAGTGGTTAGAGGTTGATGCCGGGTGTTTCTCAGCATCTGGAAGGGTTCAGAAATTTGGAGAAGGGCCGAAATCGGTTTGGCTCAATGAATAGAGCGTCGGCTTGGGGACTGAAAGGTCCTGGGTTCGATTCCGGTCAAGGGCATGTACCGTGGTTGCGGGCATATCCCCGGTAGGGGGTGTGCAAGAGGCAGCTGATCGATGACTCTCTCTCATCGATGTTTTAACTCTCTATCTCTCTCTTTTCCTCTCTGTACAAAATCAATAAAATATATTTTTTTAAAAAGAAATTTGGAGAAGGGCTGCGAGTAAATTAATAAAGGGACTAGACATGAATTATAAATTTGGGAAGCATTTTGGGGAGCCAGAGGAGACCTAGCTTCAGTAACCAAGTTCTCCGAATCTCTGGACCCCTAGCTTTTTATTAACATAAATTGCCTTAAAGCAAAGCAAGCAGATATACAGAAGGCATTGTCAGGTTAGGGGAACTGCCTTCAGCTGTCCCAGTAGCAGGCAATAATATATGCAAATTTTCAGGTTTGGGGAAATGCTTTCAGCTATTCCAACAGGCAATAATATGTATCTTCAGCCCTGCTGAAGCCTCAAGGTCCACTAACCTTTTCATGAACTTCTTGCATTTATGATCTGCTGGAATTAGCCCCCAGCAAGTAGAAAGCTTTGATCCCTAAAGTGGAGAACACAGAGCAGTTACACAGGAGGTTAGCATACATGCTTGACATGCAAGCATTCTTACCAAATATGATGGCACCAGTGGGAATCAAGATGACTTAAATACTGCCTCTGCTTATGACAAGCTCATAGTCTAAGGGGGAAATGATAGCAGAAGGTTTTCATAGAAGTGATTTCATTTCATTCTTTTACCAATGATGGTTTTTGTTGCCTTTATAGGTTAAAACACAAAAAACAAAGTGTGGTCAGGTAAAGAGAATTGCTCTGGACCATACAACTTGTATATAATAAACCAAGCCTGCTAACTTTATGCTCTTTCAAAAGCAATTAGTTATTTCTAAATTTGAAATTTCTGAGTCCAAGTATCTGTATAACACTTCATCATTTCATATACTCCCATGGAAAGGCAATCTTGATTTTAAAAATCATCTATTTTAGCTCATTTTACTTACTAATACCAGGGTGGAATAATTTAAACCTAAGAACATAGTCTGTTATGACCAGCTTTTAATTTCTTTGTTTTGGACCTTTGCATATCAGTTTTGAGACTAGACATCACACTGGAAACAAGCATGAAAGTAAAAGTCATGCTAGAAAGATTTTTTTTTTAAAATCTCAATTAGATTAAAAGATAGAAAATAAGGGAAATGAAATAACCACAAGAAATTCAGTTCTTTAGTCCATATATACATGACAGAAAACAAAGGAAACAAATAGGATATCATATCATTAGTCTCTTAGTAATTTAATTGGTGTGACCAGCATTTAATGTTAACAGCAATTTAGCATAATATTTATTACCTGGTAGCAGTGATGGTTAAAACCTAACTTTAACATGGGGTCACCATGTTTTGGACAGAATCATTGCCTGATTCTAAGGAAATTTCAACAACAACAAAAATATAAGGCTGTTTTTCTGTGTCCCCAAGGAGATGCAGACCTTTGTTATGGGAAATTTTGGATTTGAATGTAGTAGCATTGATTGAGCTGTCTTAGGGTGTAAGTAAAGACAGCTTCCTCTAAGACTTGGGAATGTGCTAATGCAGAAATACCTCTGCAAAGTGATACAATCAGATTGTCAGAGTCTGAGGTCCTCTGAAAACCTGTTGGGAGCCATTGACCTGACCTGTTCCTTGACAACATTTGCAATAGCAAAAACAAACAACAAGGAGCAATATAAATGTCTACCAGTAAAGAAATGCATAAAGACAAGACTTACTGATAATAGAGTATCAATATGGGTAGATCTCACAAAGGCAGTGGTTGGTGAGAAGCAAGTTATAGAAAGATACATATAATATAAAACCATTTGAGAAAAAAATTTAGTGGAGGGGAGGTCGGGAAACTGGGTGAAAAAGGTGAAGGGGTTAAGAAGTACAGATTGGTGGTTACAAAAAAAGTCACAGCATTTCTCTACTGGTAGACATTTATATTGCTCCTTGTTGTTTGTTTTTGCTATTGCAAATGTTGTCAAGGAACAGGTCAGGTCAATAGCTCCCAGCACATTTTCAGAGGACCTCAGGACTCCGACAATCTGATTGTATCACTTTGCAGTAAAGGGCAGCATAGTGAATATAGTTAATAATATTGTAATAACTATGTATGGTGCCAGTTGGGTGCTGGAAAGATAAGGGGGATGGATCACTTTCTGAACCACATGATTGTCTAACCACTATGCTATACACCTGAAACTAATACAAAATAATATTGAATGTAAACTGTAATTTTAAAAAATTGTAAATAAAAGACTAAAAACAACAAAAACACAAAAGAAGACGGTAGATATTGTTTGGGGATATATATGTATTACATAATATATTTATGTATATATTCTTTTCAAAATATAAATCAGTGGACTAGAAAGATACCCAATTCAAGCTTCTGAAGGGGGAAGGAGGAAAGCAAGAGGACTAACTTTAATGTGATCAATAATGTTTTAATTATTTTATATATAAAAATTCCAAAGCACCTGTGACGAAATAGTATAATTAATTCTGGGCAGTGTGAAAATAGACATTTATGATATTCTCCATGGTTTTAATATCTTTTTCCAATTAAGAAAAAAAATACACATAAACATACAATTCTTTGTATAATTTTAGGAAGTTCATAAACTTCCAAAGCCCATGCAATATTCTTCCAAAAGTAGCAAACATTGTCTTGAGATGAATATTAGGGAATAAGTTCAATTTTGGACCTATGTCAGATTATCGTATTGGGAATTGAGAATAATCAAACCAATAGTTAAGTTCCATTGAGTGTTACGTAAAGTGTCATTAGTGACTACTTGCCAGGAGGTTCAGTACATTTTAGCATCTTTTGGTCATCTTTTCTTATCCTGTTGTGTCTGTTAGCTTTTGGTATAAAAATGCATCCCAAACTTGGCAACTTCACTAATAACACGTTTATTATTTCTTGTGATTTTGTGCATCAGCTGGGCAGTTCTGGGCTGGACTGACTCATCAGATCCCCATGGTCACTGGTGGTGTGGCTGAGGATGGAGGATCTAGGATGACTTCACTCACATGTCTGATAGTTGGCTCAGTTTCAGTTGGGGCAATAGAAATGACTTGGCCATGTGTCTCTTGTCACTGATAGGCTAGTGCTGGCTTGTTTACTTAGCAGTGGTCACAGGGTTCTCAAGCATAGCAAAAGAGAAAGCAAATGCCAGGGCACACACATCTTTTAAACTTCTGCCTGCTGTGGTCCCACTGGCATCATACTTGGCTGTTGTCCCATTGGCCAAACCAAATCACAAAGGAGAGGACTACCTGGGGGCTCAGATTCAGGTCTCCACCCACAACTTTCTTTCAGTTTGCCTTAATTGGGTGAATACATTGAGGCAGGAGTGGATTCAGTGGCAGCACCAGTTTTTCTGGGCTGACCCTCTGAACCCCTGTGTATAACAGAAGCTCCCATGGATCCTGGTATGTCCACTGCTATTTTTCCAAAGAATGAGAAATTGGAAGGAACTGCAGGTTTTTTAAAAATTACAAAATGGAGACTCAGTGTGATTTTTTTTTTAAAGTTTATATTTTGTTGACTCAATATTATTTTTAAATTGCTATTTTTATTGGGGGGGAAAGTAAAAACAGAAACAAACAAAAAGTAAAAACAGAAACAAACAAAATTCATTTCTATCTATTAATGAAAGCTTTGTGAGAATAACAAATATTTTATAATTAAGTCCAAACTGGGAGAGCAGTGAATCATGCCAAACAATTCTGGGCTAGATGGCCTATTGGACATAAGGGTGGAATAATACTGTTGGAACAGGTGGGGACAATACTACTGGACAATACTTTCCAGCAAGCACTGAGCTGTTTATGTGGAGAAAGACATGCTTCTCACACAAAAATACTTTTTTTGTCTTGATTGAAAGTCATTTCTTTTGAACTGTTAGATGGTTGATTCTTAAAATAACCCTGTGTCAATTCCATAGTCTGTGCTATCTGTGGGCTTCTCAACAAGATGTAAATTGAATAGGATTAATTTGTGTACAGGCCTCAAAAAATCCATTAACCTATGGATGTTTCAGTTTGACTTTCTCCTCACTTTCTAAATGGAAAGAAAAAAAACAAAAAAACTAACAGTCAACAAATGGGAAGAAAATTCATCCCTTAACTTTGACAATTGAAAACTCATGGCCAATCTTATTTTCTCCATTTTGTTATGTGGTGCATCACATTGACTGATTTGTGGATGTTGAGCCATCCTTGCATACCTGGAATAAATCCCACTTGATCATGGTTTATGATCCTTTTAATGTCTTATTGAATTCAGTTTGCTAGTGTTTTGTTGAGAATTTTTGCATCTTTGTTTATTAGGAATGTTGGCCTGTGATTTTCTGATAGTATCACCTTGTCTGGTTTTGGTTTCAGGGTAATGCTGGCCTTGTAAAGTGAGTTTGGAAGTGTTCCCTCCTCTTCTGTTTTTTGGAAGGGTCTGAGAAAGATTGGCATTACTTTTTTAAATATTTGGTAGAAAATTCACTCTTGGATCCATCTGTTTCTGAACTTTATTGGGAGGTTTTTGATTAGTGACTCAATCTCTGTACTATAATTACTCTGTTCATATTTTCTATTTCTTTATGATTCAATCTTGGTAGGTTGTATATTTCCAGAAACATCGATTTCTTCTGGATTGTCTAATTTGTTGGCATATAATTATTCCAATCTTGTTTTCCCTCTTCTCACTTTCCCTTGGTTTATTTAGAAGCAAATCCTAGATATCATATCATTTTATCCTATGTCCGTATTACATTAGCTTTTAAATAAAGCAAAACTCAGCTCTTGGCTGTAACTAATCCTTGGGCAGGAAAAAGGGGTGTGTCCCGGTGAATCAAAGCAAGTAGCTTCCCTTTGACTTTTAACAGTAAAGGCTTTGTTTTACAGAATAATGTAGATATCTCTAGTCACTGGGTGGACTTCTTAAAGCTTGGTCCATTCTCATCCACAGGAGTCTCTGGCACTGATATCATAACATCTGTTGTCTTGGTGTGTGGGACAGAGATGGCTATCCTCTCCTTCCCAGCACGCCCCCCACCCCCTCCACAGTCCCAGCTCTACTCAGACACTGCCTTTAGGGATGATGGATAGGACCAGTTCATGGTTATTGATCTCTTAATTTCTTATGCCTACCTGAATCATGGTGATAGCTAAATAAATAATACTTATTTCTTTCAGCAATCAAGTACCTTGAACACAGAATGTCAAGATGAGGAATACCCCAGAGATTACTTGGGGGTTTCTATGAAATTGTAAACTGAAGTTTGTGTCTGTTTCATGCGTGCATTTTTTTTCCTGGGAAGAAGATTCAGAAATCCCCAGTGTGGTCCATGGCCTCCCCAAAAGGCTCTCGAAGGCCCAGAGAATCTAGCCTAACTAAGCTCGCTGGGAACGGGAACAGAGAGGTGACCCTAGAAGACAAGTCTCTTGACCCACAGACCAGGGATCTTGGTCCTCAATCTGCTTTTGCTGGAAATATTTGAAAATCAAACACAATAAAGCATTAGAGAGAAGGGAGGTTGAAAGCAGTAAGTTAAAGTCATTTTTTTTTTAAATTCCTAGAGTCACTAAGCCAAGATAAGCTACCGTGTGGTAATGATAGGTATTATTTGTTGACAACTAACTTGATTTTTCAGAATGATAATAATAAAGCATAAAAACAGAGTCACAGCATTGGTCTTGAATTTATTACATTATAATATTCTCTTCTGATCATGAAGAGGAATGCATCTAATACAGACTTCAAATATAAATTAAGTGCATAAGGTTTTAACTTTTTAAATAACTGAAATCCCTTTTCCCTGGTGAGGACTTATTGTTATTTAAGTATAACATTAGTATTTACTAATTGAAGACTCAATAAGAGGGAAATTGCTGGGTGCTAGAGCAGATTTCTATGCTCTGTTGATGTTATCTAAGACTAGGGCTTG